ATTTTCTTTTTGCTCATATATAAATTGTACATTTTTAAATATTTAAATATCATTTGGAGCAAATCCCCCTGTGGCATGTTTATGATTCCTGCTTTGGTACTTGAGACTCAGCCAGGTCTGTTTTGTCCTAAACGACAGCTGGGATTTTTATTGTTTTTTTCAGCCATTTGTACATTGATTCTCCTGGTCATTTCTTTTACCCTTGTGTATAATAGCACAAACCTGGAAATGTTAGAGAAGACACATGAATGGGCATTTAAAATATGTTGAGAAGCACAGTAACTACTAAAACTAGCACAGCTTTACAAATAGATGATGATTAATAAAATTGTGACTTCTTATTTTTCAAACAGGAAATGCTGTGAATTTTAGTGCACTAAAAACCAATGGGTAACAGAGAGTGCAGCCTGACTGAAAGATTTTTAAATTTTGTTTAAAACAGTGTCATGGTATAGGAAACCAGAAAGAATTGGAAACACAAATGAAACAAAGAGACTGCTCCCTGCAACTTTTAGCCATTAAAGTAACAGTATACATTTAGATAGAAAAGGTTATGAGATTCCAAAAAATTCAAAGACAGTATTGAGTTTCAGAGAACAGTGGGATGTAATCCAGTACTTGGTGGTCACCTGAACCATGTTATGATTGTTTTTAACATGGAAGGAAGAAGACTCTGCTCTCTTTTTAAAAACCTGCTGTTGTGTACTCTCTGTCCCAGCTGATAGTCACAGCCTTGTCCTTACTGTGAGCAGAGTGAGGAACTGATCATCTCACTACTGTGCAAGCTCTCAGACTTGTTCTTTACTAGAGTAGGTGCAGTCTGGGTTCTATGATGGTTTCTCTCTGTGCCCAGAGGGCGGCTCCCTCCTTCACTGCCAGGATAGATGTCGGTGTGTGTTCTTCTCCCAGCCAGTAGGACAGATGCAGTCAGTAAACAAAACAAACACAGACACACACAGACACCTTCCTCACTCAGCAACCCCGACCCCTGACAGCAGAGATGAATCATGTTACTCAAAGTAGAAAGTTGCCATCAGTAAGTGAAACTGACAAAAGGGTATCTTAAAAGACAATTGCTTTAAATTTAACATCTATAAATTAATATGGCTGGGCACCGTGGCTCACACCTGTAATCTCAGCACTTTGGGAAGCCAAGACGGGCGGATCACCTGAGGTCAAGAGTTCGAGACCAGCCTGACCAACACGGAGAAACTCCGTCTCTACTAAAAATACAAAATTAGCCAGGCGTGGTGACGCATGCCTGTAATCCTAGCTACTGGGGAGACTGAGACAGGAGAGTAGCTTGAACTCAGGAGGCAGAGCTTGCAGTGAGCTGAGATTATGCCATTGTACTCAAGCCTGGGCAACAAGAGTGAGACTCCGTCTCAAAAAAAAAAAAAAATTGCAGTTGATTATGGAGATTGATTAAGAAGTAAACTGCATGATAGAAAGGGAAACATGTTAATCAAAAGTAGAATAATAAATTTCATTGTATAAATTTTTTCTTTTTCTCCAAGTTAATATATAAAGGACAATAGCATAGAATTAAAGGTGTTCGTTTTTATTCAAGAATGATTTTTTTTTTTTAGGCAGAGTCTCCCTCTGTTGCATAGGCTGGAGTGCAGTGGCATGATCTTGGCTCACTGCAACCTCCACTTCCTGGGTTCAAGGGATTCTCATCCCTCAGCCTCCTGAGTTGCCGGGATTATAGGTGCTGAACCATCACACTCGACCAGGAATATTTTCCTTTTTTTTTTTTTTTTTTTTTTGAGACGGAGTGTCGTTCTGTCACCCAGGCTGGAGTGCAGTGGCACGATCTCGGCTCACTGCAAGCTCTGCCTCCCGGGTTCATGCCTTTCTCCTGCCTCAGCCTCCCCAGTGGGTGGGACCACAGGCACATGCCACCACTCCTGGCTAATTTTTTGTATTTTCTTAGTAGATACAGGGTTTCACCGCGTTAGCCAGGATGGTCTCCTGACCTCGTGATCCGCCTGCCTCAGCCTCCCAGAGTGCTGGGATTACAGGCGTGTGTCATCGCATCCAGCCAAGAATATTTTCAAAAGCATATCTCTCAGGCTATAAAAATTGAATTGAAATTGTGTGATCAAGTTTATAGCCTGAAGCAATTGGGTCTATTAAAATAGTAAGTATTCATTTTATTTCTAAGTAAAAGAGATAAATCAAAGGCCAATAAAACATTTCACTTGGGAAAACTTTCTTTTCAGATGGTTTTCATTCTGATTCTGCTGTTACTTCCAGATCAGTTAATACATAGAAGACGACTACAATTTTGTGTTCAGATTTAGAGTATAAACCAAGTTTCATTTCATTAACTAATATAGACCAACGGGTTAGTTAAGAAAGGAACCATTAATTTTACGAAAAGAGTTGTCCTAAACTTTGACCAGTTTTCCAGTACTTCATTCTTTTTACAATTCATTAGTTTTTTAAATGGCAAATAAAATTGTATATATGTTGTGTAAAACCTGTTTAGAAATAAGCAGATTGTGGAATGATTACATTGCACTCAGGAACATACGCATACTTATTTTTTTGGTGAGAACACCTCTTGATTTTCAGGAATACAATACATTAACTGCAGTCACCATGTTGAGCAATGTATCTCTTAAACTTATTCCTCCTGTCTAACTACAATTTTGAATGCTTTCACTGTCTCCCCAAATCCCTGCCTCCCAGCCCCTGGTAACCTCCATTCTACTCTCTGCTTCTGTGAGTTCAATTGTTTCACATTCCACATAAGTCAGATCACGTGGTAGTTGTATTTTTGTGCCTGACTCATTTCACTTAACACAATGTGCTCCGTTAACCTCCTGTGAATCACAGTTTCTAACCTGTAATTCCTCTAAGTGTTTTCATTCCCTTTTCATGGTTTCTACTAAGAATTCCAGAGCTCAGCTGCAAGGTTTTCACTGCTTTGGAAGTTATTCATTGTTTTTCTTTACTTCTTGTCCACGGACACACAAATAAATTGTCTGGTGCAAGTGCAGCGGCTATATGCCCTTCCTGTGAAGGCAGGCCGGTTTGACATCTATTAAGCAAATCCATCTCAGCATTCTTAACAGCCTTTATATTGTTTGATATCAAGCTCAGAAATTCAAAAAATATGCCTCTGTCTTTGTAAGACTACCTGGGTTGGAGAAGATTTATGTAATATTCAACCCAGCAGATAATGTATATAAAAATTACTTCATATGATTTAATGATCTTGAATCGATTTAACTGTTTATATGTCATACTTGGAAAAAGCAGGGCAATTATAAAATTTAATAATGGCTTCTCCATAAAAAGCAATAATTCATATTCTACTTTAAAAATCTTTTGTCTTATGTAGAAGAGTAAGTGGCATCCTAGTGGCACCAGAAGGATGTACTGGTGACCTTGTGTAGCGGTCCCTAAGTTAACGCATGTTGCTTTATTTGACTGACACTGATGTTCCCATCTTAGCTTCCTGCAGTTACGTGGGCAGAAAACCCAAAGTTAGTAACTTTGAACAGTTTCATCAATGTTAGTAACTCAAGGGCCAAAGCGATGGACCAAACAGCCAGTCGAGTCAATCTCTGGTTCGCCCTCATGAGGACAGAATGCTTTTAGGTAGCGAGGCAGTGCTTAGTCTCAAGGTAGCCTCCCTTCCCCTCATGCATTACCTGGTGTTTGTGTGCAGGAATGTGGATCCTCTGTACATGCCTGGGGCTGTGGGTGTGGGGAGGCGCCTCCAGTGTGCTGTGGTTTACCCTGGGGCCTCTGCAAGTGCCTGACCAATAGATGCTCCCTGTAGGCTTACAGTGTGGAAGTTGGCGGCTTCACCATAATCTGTGGCCTGAGCTAGGCCGCAGGGAACATTTCTGGATGGTGTCAGCTATATCTCCTCCTTACTCAGTGTCATAGGGGAGCAGCGACTCTCTGGAACTGTGGGATGCGAAGTAAAATAATTTACGAAGACAGTTGTAGGTAAAGAAAGGCAGATTTATTGGACACCACAGAGTTTACATGTTTGTGGTGATGTGGGTATGTACAATTATGTACAGTGCATAATGCTTGATGAAAATAATAGATGCTGATGTTAACATTTTATGTATTTAATATCCTTTTTTTTTTCTTGTTATTTTAGAGTATACGCTTACTACTTTGTTTTTAAGTTAACTGTGAAGCAGCCCGGGCAGGTCCTTCAGAAAGTTTCCAGAAGAAGGCATTATTATCAAGGAGATGACAGCTCCATGACTGTTACTGCCCCTGAAGACCTTCCAGTGGGACAAGATGTGGAGGTAGAGGACAGTGAAATGATGATCCTGACCCTGCTTAGGTTTAGGCGAAAGTGTGTGCTTGTGTCTTGGTTTTTAACGAAAACTTTTTAAAAGTGAAATAAATAATGAAAAAAGCTCATAGAATAAGGTTAAAAGGAAAGAAAATATTTTTGTATAGCTATATAATTTGTGTGGTTTTTTGTTGATCTGTTTGAGACAGGGTCTCTCTCTTTCACCCAGACTGGAGGGCAGTGGCACAATCACGGCTCACTGTGGTCTCCACCTCTTGAGCTCCAGAGATCCTCCCACCTCCCTCAGGAGGACACCAGTCCTGCAGGCAGACATCAGGCCCCAGGTGGACTCTGGACTCAAGGTGTACATCAGGCCCCAAGTTGACAACCAGGCCCCAGATGGACACCAAGGCCCTGGGTGGACAGCAGGCCCATTTGAACACCAGACTCATGTGGACATCAGGCTGCAGGTAGACACCGTGCCGTAAGTAGACATGTAGGCTCCAGGTGGACATTAGACCCAAGGTACACAGCCAGTCCACAGGAGAACATCAGGCCCAGGTGAAAACTCAGGCCTTAGATGCACATCTGGCCTTAAGTAGACACCCAGGCCCCAGGTTGATACCCAAGTCCCAGGTGATCACCAGACCCCAGGTAGATACAAGACCTTAGGTGAACAAGACCCAGTAGGCCATCAGGCCCCAGCTGGATACAGCCCCCGGTGAACACAAGGCCCCAAGAGGAACATAGGCCCAAGGCAGACATCAGACCTTCTGTGGACATTGGCCTGAGGAGGACATCCGGCCCCCAGTGAACATCAGGCACAGGTGTCCAAGCAGGCCCTGGGTGGACATAATGGTGTCTAGGTAAGGAGGTGTCCTGGGGGGAGGGTGAGCAGTCAGCAGCCCAGTGGAGTCCTAAGGAGGTCTTATGGAACGAAGGGGCTGAGGGGACGGAACCTTAAGTGACCTCACTTCCTTAATGACAGATCCGAACAGAACTTAGAACTCTGGTAACCAGGTGCCCATATCCTAGAGTCAGCACCGTAACCAGCTTACTTGGTAGGATACGCTCAAGAGAAAAAGATGTTCTGGTGTTGCTTCCCCACTTCGAGAGGTTGCTGCTTCAGGAATGGAGGGAGTGAGAGCCTTTTCCGACGATGCTGAAGAAGGCTCATCCCTCACCCCAGACGCCTGTGGCCCTTTGTAAGAAGGCACGACCAGGTACTACAGGGCAGCCCGGGGCAGGCCCTAGCAGGCCAGGCCACACCAGAGGTCCCATCAGGGCTGCATCTGCACATTGTCCTTGTCCAGGAGGAGATTCGGGAGCCCATGGAGGCACAGGCACATGGTGAGGTGGCCTGCAGTCTCGAAGACTTTGCGGGGGTGGTGTTTAGGGGCTGGAACTCCTTTAAATTCAGTGAGGTTGTTTCTGTGTTTGGAAATTCCAGTGGAAAGTGACTGAGGCTGGGGACTTTTTCTCCTTTTTCAGCTCCTGGTCCATATGCAGAAATACCAGCATTTCCAGCACCAGCTGTTGAGCCAGAGCCAGCATGGGAAGAGCCCCCTCCAGAGACAGTGCCGGAGGTCGAGGGAGCTCCAGCCAAGGACCAGTCCAACGAGGAGCTGCCTGAAATCAAGGCACCTACTGTCGCTACTGGCCTTAGCCCTGCAACTGAAAACGTGGCTGTAGAGAGAAGTGGGAGGGAGCGTACAGAGAGAAGTGGAGGAGCGGTGACCAGCACGTCGGTCCCAGCCAGCAGCTCCCATGCTGCCCCTAGTCCTGGGCACGGTGGCAAACATGGAGGCAAAGATGCAGTATTTTGAACCTGGGCTCTCACCCTGGCCGGAGAGAGGCCAGCCAGTTCACCAGAGCTGCAGTTCTGCTGCTGCAGGGCCTGTTTATTCTACTGCCGCTGGGTAGGGGTCCATCTGTGTGCAGGAGGTGCTTGAGGGCATTAAAAGAAGGCTGAGAGGAAGAATTCCAGTAGCTCCTCCTGCTCCCAGAGGCGGCCTCCTCCCCAGGCATGGATGTCTGTCTGCAACCGGCATCCGGCTGCTTTGCCTTTGATGGGGCCCAGTGGACTTGGCTCCTAACAGGCGGGCAGGGATAGAGGGGACCAGGAAGCAGCTCCAAAGGGTACAGCAAGCAAAGCTTTTAAAGACAGCACTTGTGCCCCAGGCTCTCCGTATACCACCTGTCTAGCATTTATTAATAGTGTTAGAATCATTAGTTGATGAGGAATGAGAATAATAAACTATTTTAGAATTTCACCTTTTGAACTCCCTAATGAGGATTGTGTTTATGTGATCCTGAAAATCTTTGGTAGTTGTGTCTTTTGTTGTGGTTGTTTGTGTGATTGAATTGTCATCAAGTCAATCAAGTATTGGAAACTTGGTGTATGAAGCTTTAGAAGACCTTGACCTACTCTTGCCTGTTTTGACTCTCTGGTTTATTGGGAAAGAGGGAACACAGGCTCATGTCTCTGGCAGATCAATCACCTTTTGCCATCAAGGATTTGGCATCAGAGTTTCCAAGAATTATGTGTGCAAGTTGACATGCTGGCACTTTAGCTAATCTGGTACAAACAGAATGCTATGTAGACTAGCAGTACATACAGAACATCACAGTTCTAGAGATGGTAAAATCAAGGTCAAATGGGTCAGCAGATTCCTGTTCACAGAGGGCTGGCTTCCTTGTTCATAGACAGCCATCTTTTACTTAGTGTCCTTATACACAAGGATGAGGAGCTCTGCAGTCCCTTTGATAGGGGCACCAATTCCATTCATGAGGTCCCTGCCTTCATGAACTTATTCACCTGCTAAGGCCCACCTCCAAATACCATCACAGAATTAGACCCGACACACATGAATTTGAGGACAAAGAACATTTGCTTTATGAATCAGGCTGCCCTGTCGTGATGCACTCACAGGAAACGAGCAATTTAAGGCCATATTTGCTGGTCTCCCCTGGGATTAGGGAATTTTTTTTCTTTAAGAAAAGGGCCAAGCGGTGGCTCACGCCTGTAATCCCAGCACTTTGGGAGGCCGAGGCGGGCGGATCAAGGTCATGAGATTGAGACCACAGAAACCCCGTCTCTACTAAAAATAGAAAAAATTAAATATGAGATGGCGCCTGTAGTCCAGCTACTCGGGAGGCTGAGGTAGGAGAACATGAACCCGGGAGGCGGAGCGCTGCAGTGAGCCGAGATTGCGCCACTGCACTCCAGCCTGGGCGATAGAGCGAGACTCCGTCTCAAAAAAAAAAAAAAAAAAGAAAAGGATCTTTTCTGCGATTCATGATTATTTACAGAAAAGCACTGTGAGTTCACACACCAAAAACAAGGGTAATTAGACACAAAAATGAGGAGTGACTCTCTGTCTTTCTCTCTTAACCAACCCATTGGGCTGAGACGTGAGTTTTGGCTGGGCAGAGAATTTGAGTAGCCACAAACAGCAAATACAACTTCTTGGTCAGTTTGGAGTAGAAAAGGTGACAGTTTGTCAACGAAAGAAAAAGCAGACGGACAGTTCTGCCCAGATTCTAGATATATACAACTCCTTCCTAAGAAACCCCACCCCAACTCCAGGAATCAAGACAAAAGAGTAAACACCTGCAACTAACTGATTTCTTCTGATAGCCCTTGCTATCTCCTACAACAATTCCAGGCTGAGCATAGGGGTCAGGAAGGTAGCAGGAATATGGTGATACACTGCAGAGGTCAGCCAGGGCTATGACAGGGCTGTCACTAGGGCTGTGGAAATTAGGTGCTGAGAGGCTAAGTGCAGACCAGCCCTACTTTCCTTCAAGTCATCAAGCAATGAGACTGTGACAAAAGCAGGCAGAGGAAGCTTGAGAAAGGCAGGGGAAGAAAGCAAATGATGAGAAGAGAACTGTGTGAATAAATAGCCAGTTTGATGGCAGAGGGAGACTGGTGCTTAGAAGCTCATTTGGGGAGAGAATGAATAGAGAAGGCACAGAGATGGGGAACAAACATTTAGCTGGTGAGAGAGATTTAAGACGAATAGGAAGAGAAGTCTCTACAAAAAGGACACATTCCATGCAGATCTCAAGATGAACATGCAGTCATCCCCACATGTAGAAATACGCCAGTTACACATATAAACCACAGATGCATGGAGAGCAAGCATACACAGACACATATTTCACACATGTGCTCATAAACAGATACAGTACCAAACATGCAAACACAGAGAACATTTATACACAGATAAGGACCACATGTATGCAAATGTTGCATCCTCACACAGAGATCGCAGTCCAGTGTGTGCACATATCCACACTGGTACGCAGCCATAGAACTGACATAGATACATAAACCATAATGCACATACAGACACATACAGACAGGCATGTGCAGATTTATCTATATTACAGGACACATGTACTCACTCAGTCATACAGATACACACACTTCCTTCTCTAAATACAAAGGTACTATGTAGATGAATATTGTGAGCTCAGTGGCTTTGCAGAAGTTCATCTTTCCTGCACTTGTTTCAAAGGTGCTCAGCAGACCTCTGGCGAGGCTGTGTGAGGCAGAGGCAGGAGTTTCAGAGTCCCCTACAGCTTTGTGAGGCAAAAGCCTAAGTCCAGTCCTGGCCTTCAGCCGCCACCTACCCCGCTATTAATGCCCTGTCTGCAGGTGATTCTGCATAGACTAGTCTTGGGATTTTTTTTCAACTGGCCGTTTTTCTCCTTGGCACCCCCACTATCCCACTGGGAAGGGTATACACTGCAAGGAAACCTGAGAAATGGTTGGGAGTCTCTCAGACAATAAGCACATCCTCCACCCACAGCCACCTCATGCCTATCAAATCAGAACCAGAATTATAAATATTTACAACTTTACAATAATTGGCAACACATATACTATAGTATTTACAGTACCATAAATGCATCTATTTCTGGTACAGCAATCTCTGAGATGGAAAAGTTCTCAAAGCTGCTGGGAAGGAGACAGCGCCAATGCCCAGGACACGCAGGACGTAGGACAGAAGGCATATCGTGGGCTTTCTGGTCGTGACCTGCAGGCCCAGCTTCCCATGAACAGTGGGCTGTAGTGACAAGTTTGTCAAGGTATGCATATCCACTAGAGTTGGACTCTCCCCATCATTAGCCCTGTAGTCCTTGGCCTCAGCCACAGGTGCTCAGAGTCCTCTCTAGGGTGGACAAATGTTTCAGTGTTTTTGGCCTGACCTGCCACTACTTGGGGACCAGGCTGCTGGGCCAGTGAGAGCTCATCTGCTTCTCTCAGCCAAAGGGCTCTCGAACCAGCTGCATCAGCTTTTCCTTGCCTTTGTAGATCTGTTTGTGGTTGTTAATGAACTGGGCAAATTGCAGGAAGCCATCCTGGGGCAGCAGGAAGGTCTCCCGAGCCTTGCTTAGAAACTCAGTGAACTCCATACTGGCAATGGCTGATGTGTGTCAGACTGATGTGGGTGTTGATGTAAGCATTCATGGTGGTATCAGCAACTGGCGAATTTGAGCTCTGTCAGCAGAGATGAGCTTTCCAGAGCTGCGGCAGCCTCGGTGCAGTCACCGTGCAGTGCTTTCATACAGATGTCTGGAAAGCATCAATGCAATGTGCACACTCTTCACCACCAGGGGGATGAGCACTGCCAGCTCATCCTTGCCCAGAGAGGCTGAGGCACAAAACCTAGAGTACGGGCCATTGATGGCTGCGTGATCTCAGAGCCAGTTAAGACGGCTCAGGCCAATGAGGCCAGCTTGAAGGCATGGAGCTGCAGGCCACTTGAGCTGCGCATAGCAGGCAATGGGGAACAGCTGGGAATGGGCCGTGCCACCAGCAGCAGCCTCAGTGGCAATCTGGCAGGCGCTTCTCCTCAAAGGCAATGTGGTCTTTCTCAGAGTGTAAGGGCTGACAGGGCACAGCCCAGGATACTTCATAGCACGCTGCAAGGCCAGGCAGTGCAAGCACAGCTAGCCAGTTCCCTCCCGCTGTGGATAATCAAGACTGAGCAGGATAGTGTGTGATACAGCTGTGGCAGCTAAGCAATATTAGTAGCCCCAGTAGGGGTGAAGAGTGTCCCAGCCTGCAAGATGCTCACTGGGGCCCACACACCTGTGAGGAGAACCTGAGCTTCCAGTCATGGCAACCTGGGTCCTGATCTGTGGCCTGCCCAGATTACCGTGTGAGTTTGAACTTGCCTGCTGGAGATGGGTCATCCTTCCTCCTCAGCAACCTTGAGATGATCTGAGGCAAACCAGGGCTAGGGAAGCATCCCAGACAACCAGACCCTGCTTGGGCTGTCTTCCTATCCCTTCCTTCCCCAGGCCAGAGGGTTGAAGGTTTCTGCAGGTGCTCTTAGCCCCTCACAAGGATGGAGCAGTAGAGCTCGGGGTTTGTTTGCCCCGAGGCCAGGCAGTGGATCTGCCAGTTCCAGTAGAATTGGGGGCCTTTCAGGGTAGTCTTATGCTGGGGCTTTGGGCTTTAGACAGGGTCCTGAGCCATCTGGGCGTGGTGGCTCACACCTATAATCCCAGAACTTTGGGAGGCCGAGGTGGGCAGATCACGAGGTCAGGAGATCGAGACCATCCTGGCTAACACGATGAAACCCTATTTCTACTAAAAACAAAAAAATAATCGTGGGGTGGTGGCAGTCGCCTGTAGTCCCAGCTACTCAGAGAGGCTGAGGCAGGAGAATGGCATGAACCCGGGAGGTGGAGTTTGCAGTGAGCCGAGATTGAGCCACTGGGACTCCAGCCTGGGCGATATGCAGAAGGAGACTCCATCCCCCCCGCCTCACCCAAAAAAAAAGAAAGTATCCTGAGCTTCCAAGCTGTCTGGGGTTTCTCATAAGCATGGACAGAGACAGGGACCAAACCACCAGGCCCACTTCCTCCCAGGGGCACACTTGAGTATTGGCAGCTGAAAACCATTCTCTTAGACATGTCTCTGGATGGAGCACAAAAAGTGCTGCTGACACTGAAGCATGCTACAGTTGTTTTAAGCAGTGAGGACAGAACTTGGGCTGGCTGAACAGAGGCCATCTTCTCCCACCATCAGCCCCATCCTTTTAAGCCAT